CGCCTCCTTCGGCGTCGGCGATGACGTCCCTTGAGCATGATGCCTGGACGGCGGCTACACAGCAGTCGGTGATGGACGGCGGAATGGCGAACTTGCGCGACTGCAGCGACGATGCCATGAAGCGAAGCAGCGGTCAAGCATTTATTTATGTGTCGACGTCACGCCACCGGACCGGACGACGAGCGGACATCGGTGATGAGCGACAAGCGACGACGACGAATATCAACAACAGCAACAACAAACGCAAAAAGATCGGTGGATATGAGGAGCAAATCCGTTAATCCAAATGCATGACGATCATGGATATCGACCACCTGCAACGGCACCCGCTCGAACGACGATCGAAAACACGCATACACAACACCAACGAATGTTCGTCTTATTCTAATAAGCCATAAATGCTCTGAACTGTAATTCTATCCGTGTATTTTCACAGGCAACGGATCTGTATTTCTGTTCGGCGAGCGCTGTCTTACGTCCCTGCAAGCAAACGACGCGATTAGCACGATCATATTACGGAGACACAAGCGCCAACGACCGAACGACGAATAATACAACCTCCTTTCGTCCGATGCAAACTATAAGATCACGGCTGACGACTGACCACCAGCAGCAGCATGCATCATCAAAGTATCATTCTCTGCCACACCACCAAACAAACATATACAAAATGTGCACAAAGTTTAGAAGCATCATTGCACGCATGCGATAACCTTTCCACTATATCAGTATGTTCACCACGATATGCACATCAGATGACATCTGATACATAACTTAGCAAATTTCTGCGACCAAAACCTTTCCATACCAACGTAATGCATTTAACTATGAGAATATACGGCTGCACGAAGATAATTTTACAGACCTGAATGACATTTACAAAACACACAGCATTTGCCAGAGAAAAAATTTATGTACACTATTGCAAAAAACGATATAAATTTCACTGTTCTAAGTTCATAAAAACAAACCGGTGACAAAATCACACGTAAAATCCAATTCCATCCGACAATCTGGCGATCTTCATCATAGCACAATTTTCATTTTACAGACGTACTGTAAGACAAGAAAATTGATCGGCATGTTTTAATATCACTATGAAATCGGTAACCCTGCGCACAAACTGATCAAGAAACGCAAAACAGTTCGTAGTGGTAGGTGCTCTTCAAAAAAAGTTTCAAGAGAATCTAAGCACTATTTTTTTCTGATTAAAATTTACAAACAATGTTTTGTTTCAATTAATTCTTTCATTTTATAAAATAAATTGACTAGTTCCGATTCTGGAAGTGCACTTCCGTTACTAAAATCAGAAAATATTCGCAGCGTTCTTGCATCTCAACGTGTTAAGTCACCTGTTGATAGGGTAAAACTTGGAGTAAGCTCAGGACAATAACTTTTTTCATATGTATGTTTCCGCAATTCACGTCTTGGCGGAACGTAGGAATAGTTTGCTAGCGAGTTGTAGCGGGAGATATGAATTCAAACAGCATTCACAGTTTAAACTCTTTACAGAGAGGCCATGCAGGCGCCTTTTCCTGTATATTGACCTTCTCCACTATACTGTGACTACTTCCAAAATCCCTCTTTCCCGTTAGTTGCCTTCCTTGCTGACGATGCTGATTGCAATCCACCTTATCACCTGATTCTTTAGCATAATGTGTTCAAACACGCCAGCTCATTTCTCATTTGTACTGTTAAAACAGGCCTTTTGTTCACGGATCAGGTTTTCAGTTTTCTACCGGTTTTCCAATGTACCTTTCTTCATGATAACTGTTTATCCGGCTTTTTATCTAGACATCCGTTTGTTTATGTATAATGCCTTTCTTATGCAGGAAACTGCCAAGCTTGATTGAGAAATAACTTTATCAATAGCACAATGAGCTTATAATTTCGAAAATTTGATGCTAGAAAATAATAGCATCAAAAGAGCCGGTATTTTATCAGATGCTTGCATGAAAATAAAACCAACTTAATAACAGTAAGGTAAAGGAAGATATCTTGTTCAACGAATCTGTGAAATTTGGAGTAGAAACAAGGAGAATTGGCTTGCCGACATACCAAAGAAATTGTCTTTAACTCTTCTGAAGCAATCTGGTTTCATTAGTTTGATCCTGCTTTGAGATAACAACAGCGTCATCTATAGAGCGAACAATACCATTTGAATCAGTTTCTTCTTCATCTTCATCTTCCATCGCCGCTTTTCGTTTCGGGTCGCGGAGGCAGACGCGTCAGACAGTGCTTCCAACGTTCCCGATTTGAATCAGTTTCAAAATTCTAAATTGCCGTAGGTTGTGCAAAGCGTTCCGATTTAAGAATAAAGAGAAATTGTGATAAAAATGAATGCTCGAATGTTCATACTGTTCTAACCAAATCAGTGCATCGATGACTCGAAGTTTTCAGAAACTACACGTAGTGGCGTTTATTGCCAAGGGTTTTCAGGAATATCAGTGTAAGGTTTGAAAAGACAAACGAATTATATTAGTGAGTATGAAAGCTTTTTAGCGATTTTGTGTATTTGTAATGACAGTGGTACCGTTTATCATAGCGGAGAAACTAATCAAGATAACCTGATCATTTTGAACAAATTTCCGAAAAATTTGTCATTTTTACTTGTGATACGTGCCAATTGTGCAGTCGCCATGAAACATTTAAAATCAAATGTAACATCTCAAACCAAATACGTTTCACTGCTTGGATCTAATTTACCCTGGATTAATCATGCGTCTGCTAATTCGTTTTTGCTGAGCCAAACATAGTTCCGAAAAATCTTCTAAGAAGCACGAAGTATTGGATGGCTCTACTTATATTTAATGCTGCAGTGCAACCGATTTGCCGTAACGACTGTTCACAGTACACCGTTGGAAAACTGTTTTGATGGAACCGGAAAAGATTGGCTGCTGTAACTTATGAGAAAACTATTGCACCAGAGAGATGATACAAGTCCCACTACGAACTTCAGAGATGCCGAGTTTGAAGCGAAGAGCATTATAAAGTCTTGAGATAGGGAATCTTCTGATCCTTGGCAATACGAAAAATGTTTCATGTCCTTTGTCAACCATGGAATCAGAGGGCCTGTCATTTTCAATGCATCCATGCCGCAGCATCGGTATATACCTTACAAGTTACTCTCTAAATTATTCGGTTCCGCCGTTACCCGTACCAAGTGCGAGTGAGAAGGGAAGAAGATTGAACAATGCTGCGACTCTCCCAAAAATTTTTCCACCTGACCCTCACGGTATTGCCGTTTTCGGACGTTATACCAGCTTCGTAGTCGTTAGCTAACCAGGGACAGCGCAAGCTTTTGGGGAACGTCGCCTAAGATCGGCGATCGTTGCCAGCTTCTCGTTTTTTGTCAGCACCACTACAGCTGCCGTAGATATCAATCAGCAACAGAGGCGTTAGCCGTTTTGAACGGAGGTGGTGGACGGCGAAATGCAATCATAGAACATCAGATAAAATTACACATTAACAATGTCTACTGTTTGAGTTCAGAGTTGCAAATTGAAACACCTCACTCTCAGAGGAACAGTAGGAGCCAACTAATGATTCCGTAAGGCATCGACTGGCTACACTTCGACTCTTGTGAATGAAGCACCAGCTTACAGCTTCAAATGCCAACTTCAAATATGAGTTTTTCCTGGAGGAAGTTAAAGGTGCTCTGTGAAAAGTGTCGACTACAGAATTAATCATTCTGATAGGCGACTTTAGTACACATTTTGGAGTAGAAATTGAAAAATGGATAGTCATGATTGGAAAGAAAGGCCCGAGCTCTCAGCACTAATTAAATAAAGATTTCGCGGTTTGGTGCAAACGAATTGCCTATTATGAACACATTCATCAAACATCCAGACATGCATCTTTAGACCTGCTATTGGAAAGCGTAGCGGCCCAAACAATCAGAGAGTTCGAACAAAGTTGTGCCGAAACGACAACGAAACTTGTTAACGGCATCACAGGACAGTTTGAGCAGATTCCATTGATAATCGTTTATGTGGAAACAGAATGGAAGCTGTTTAAATGCGGCTTATTAAAGTTAACCGCCGAATGCTGTCTAAAACGGATTGGACTGCCGCCTCGAGTTCAGAAACGAACTTCCTGATGGACATGAGTGATGCAACGAGCTGACAGCAAGAAGAAAGCTGTATTCAAGAAGTAAAGTGGAAGCAAAGAGCCTTCAGCTCGAATGCGGAACGAAGATGTGTGCAAAACTGCAGCTGAATTCGATTCATGGGAAAAGCTTGGTGAGGTGCGGAAGTGGAATTTCCTGACCGCAGACAAGACATTCTGGCAGACCATCCACGGCCTTTGAGATGGTCTAAGAATTGTGAGAAACAAGTCATGACGTCTTCTAACCAAGTAAGATCACACACTTCAACGATGCAAAGAGTACTTTGAGGCACTCCTAACAACTAACAACCGCAGAAAAACTCTCCTGAAGAGCAAAAGGCAACGAACATTAGTTAGTCTTTTAGTAGATGAAGTAACAGACGTTGTTAAGAGCTTGAAAAGTGGCAAGGCGGTTGTAATCGATGAAATCTGTCCTGGTATGCTTAAAGCCTTAGGCGAACGAGGCATGTTTTGGTGAAGAGGAGTTTGCCAAGCCATGAATAAGACACCAGTGGACATGAGATTTCGGTTGGTAGCCCATTTGTTAAATAATTAATATCAGCCTTCCTCTTCTGTGGTCAAGATTTAATGTAATTGGCTTGTATCTGCAGTTTTCCAGCTTTGACGGACGACTCTGAATGCTTGATCCATATCCTCGTCATATTTCACATTTTAATTGGTGAGTTGCTTGCCTTGCCAAACGTTACTGTTGTTGCACTGATCCTGTTTCAGCTCAAATAAAAAAACATTTAGCAGAATACACGGATCGCCCTAGTTTACTGCATGTTCATTATATTTCGGAATTTCTAGAAGAAGCCTTCTTCAAATGCTTTGTCGCGAATTATTCATTTTTCGATGCGTCCTTCTCGAAATGGTTTTCGGCGCGGACGCATCAGGGTACAGTTTTTGACACCATTTGACAAACGGCCTTGAAAAATCAAGAAACACTGCTGTGGTGTGTAAGTCCGTGAAGGCTAATAATGAGTCGTCACTCTCTGAGCAGAAGAAACGTAACACTGTGCAAGGATTTTGCCTCAGTCTGCTCAAACTCAAACAGTGTCCAACGTGCAAATTGGTCACAAGCACATGCCATTGTCGGTTGTCGATCAAAATCATTTATTTTAGTCGCGAACAGGTCCGCTTTTATAAGCGGTATTAACTGGAATAAATCAGC